TATATATATATATATATATAATGATTGATTCTTAAATCATCTCTAGATTGTTTCGCGTCGCGTCGCGTTGTGTCTGAAATATACTCGGATGACATCAAAGTTAAAATCAATTTGTCAATCTCTCTTTATCGGATCGCTACCGGTACCGTCCGTAAAATCGAGGTCAAATTCCTGGCAATACTCCATATTCTTTGACCGTTTACAAATCCGAGCATCTCGTGGCGGTTCGCCAAGTCATCGCAATTTGGTTGTGACGCGTGTGTGACACACATTACGTATATTAGGTTTTTTTTTTTACAACTGTTAACTCACCGATATAAAGAGGGGCTGTGTCGTAAGCGTTACAGGGGCCCGCGTGCCGCGTTTCGAGAACGAAGCCGGTAACGCAGGCGTCCTTGATGATGTGACACCAGCTGGGATAGGTGATGTTGTTGGTCGCGCACAACATGGTCGTCGATGGATCTCGATCCCGATCCCTGTCACGGTGCGCCCGATTTCGCACGCGCTCCCGCTTCCGGGGGCAACGATAGGTGCAGGTCACGCAACGCGGTCGTCCAGATTTCATTTCGGACAAACAAGTTTGGCCTTCTCGACAGCGTATCTTAGTACAGTCTGCGCTCTCTGTGAAAATCGTACAACGAAAATAGACATTTTAAAATCATTAATGAATATGTATTTATAATATCTCTAAAATTGTTAAAATATGGATGTTTTATAACTATTATTATAATTTATTTCAATGCAAGAGACATACTTGCATTGCAACTAATCATGCGGTGAACGATCGCTAAATCTCTGTTTACTTCCGCTCAAATCTTAAATTGATTATATCATCATGTATATTTTTTGTTTGTTAAAATGAAGCAATATTATTTGAAATCGATTATCCTTTGCGATGTATTTTCGTCCTCGTTTATACAATGTCAGCATTCTTTTGATCGCAACGCGGTGTTAACTTGTGTAATGATGTTTCTATCGGGAGACTATTAAGTGTTTCACAATTGAGTAACACGATCCTTATTGTTAGACATAATGCTTAAACATCGTATAGAATTCTGTGCGGTGTCTTTCCCGCTTGATTACGATGTAAGCTAGGAGAGAGGAAGGTGAGGTAGCGTATCGCGATTCTAACAATAAGCTGTGAGATGTTATTTGATAGCATAGCCGATTTATAATTACGAGAGCTTCAAGAGATAACAAAATCGTAAAGGCATGATATATTGCGATATTAATGCAATTATAATTTAAATACGCGATAATATAGTCGAGAAGTTTAATCGAAAATAAAAAAAGTTACAAAGTTCCATTAATAACAAGGATTTAATTAATTACAACGAGCATCGCGAATGATTTAAATCGATATTTTATAATTATATTAATGAACTTGGAAAAATTGACATTGCTTCTATTTTACTATCAGTCGTAAAGTTTGAATAAGAGGAGGAAAGCAACGGTTACGCAATGCTGTATACACGAAAGGGTCATTGGTCATTCAACCTTACATGGCATTGACATAACGTCGTCAACACTTATTGAAGCACGACAATTTAAATGATCCGTCATTAGGTTACGCATCATGCGCGCTATACGAAGCAGTAATGTTACATTGGAAATCGCGCGACCCCATCTTTTTCCCTCCTTATTAATTATATTGAATTAAAAAAACAACATATATATATATTAAATGAACATATACACGGAGCGAAGGGCAGTTCAGATGATAGCTTCGTTTTATCTATTCGCTGTAACATTACATTCAACCGTCGTGTTCTCAAAGACGTATAATGAAGTCATAAACTGTCGATTGTAACGTTATCGCGATTTATGAAACAAACATACAACATTTCTCTCTGCAATTCTCTATAACCGCGCCGGTAGCGTTGACAGTTATATATCCTATACGTCTTGCATAGGATCTTCGCAAAAATACACGAACGACACGAAGCTACGGTATAACGGCAGTATCTCTCTCACGAACGATATTTACCCTTCCCGATAAAAATGTTGTCCTTCTATGCCATTATCCACTTCCGTCTTCGCCGGCCAGGCATAATTTGCCATGCGACAACCGGATAATTCTCATCGCGCCGCATCATCCGTAGTCAACGCGTAAAAAACGCGCGCGAGCGCGCGCGCGCCTGTCAAGTATTGACGGATGAGAAACGGTGTCAATATATGTGCGAGCCATTGGCGAGGTGAAAAAAATAAGCAAATTACTTAACGCCTTTGGTGGCGAGGATAAACGGTCGCGCATCGAGCAGAGAGATCTTAGAGAGAAGGAGAAAGAGTATAAGATATTCCGGACTGGCCGGTCGCGGGACGAGAAGGAAGAGAAGGTGGCGAGAGAAGACGATGAGAGGACGAGACGAGAAAAGCTCATATACGTTCCATGCACATACTGCCGGTGTGCATATTTACAGACGCGTGCACTTTCGCGCCTCGCGATCCTCGAATCGGAGAAAGACGATTATTTGCATCGCGACACCTCGTCGCTAAACCGGCTGGTTTATTTACTTATTTACCTCTCCGTCGCGCTGTGTGTGCCGTACTCCTCCATCGATGTGTCTTTAGCTTTCCTCTTCTTCTACTCTTTTTTTTTTTTTCTTTCTTTCTTCCTTTCTTTCTTTCTTATTCGCGCGAGAACGTTTTCGCACGGGCGTTAAGAAAAACTGTCAATAATAGGGAGAGTTTAAATCTCAAGTGCAGTAGAGATCGAGACTACGATATAGATGGCGACAAAATATAGCAGTAAAAAAAAAAAAAAAAAAATGTAATAGTTCTTTTTCACTGAAATTCACAATCATATTTAACGAGCATTTATAACGAGTACTTGGAAAAGAAGTGTGCGTAAGAAACCTAATGATTATCGCGAGGACAGGTATCGCGTTCTCTTCGTCCTCGTCAAGACAGGACGTGTAATACGGAAGAGAATAATTACGAGTAAATTTTCGTCCGATTGATATGATTAACGATATTTACCGAGTTGTTTAACGACCGTATGACTAGCGCGCAAGAAGCGACAGTTGTATCATTAACTCGGGGAGCAAGAAGTTGGAAGTTATAAATGGACAATGCATCAAACAGTAATTTTTTTTTTTTTTTACATCTTAGGCATTGTAGTGATATCGACATAATGTATACCATTCTTTATATATATATTTTTTTAAATCTTTATATTGTTGTGCTATCGACATAATTCTCTATACCATGTTCATTCTTTATATATATATATATAGTCACAAGGAATGGTAAGGGATGAGCTCTCTGGTAAGGGATCCTCTCTGGTGGGGTGCCGTCTAGCACCGCGACGAGGAGGCTCTCGTTCGCGGCGAGGAGGTATTCAACTGGAGGCATGCGGCGGTAAATGTCGATGTCGAGACGCGCGGACGTTGATATGGTTGCGAGGAGAACGGGAGAGAGGGGAAGAAAACGGTGGAGCAAGCGATGTCGGTGCATTGGCCGATGAGAAGAATAAGAAAGAGAAAGAGAGAGAGAGAGAGAGAGAGAGGAGGAGAAGGAAAGAGATGAAGAGACGGTAGGATCTTGCGCCAGAGTCTAATAAAAAAAAGGACGAGCTTGGCACTGTGTATGTGTGTGTGGCCAGACGCCGTGGCCACGCCAGGCTGCGCCTGTTCCACAGTGCATGGTGTTACTGAATACTGTTACCGGGGTCCGGACCCGTGTGGAGGGCTGCTGCCAGAGTTCCTTGTGTATGCGGGCTCTTGTACAAACCCTTGCCTCGTCCCGATCCGCCCTATCCCTTTCTCTCTCTTTCTCTTTTGATATTTTTCCGTCTCGCTTTCTCCTTTTCCTCCTCGTTCATCTCTCTTTCTGCTTCTTCTTCTTCTTCTTCTTCTTCTTCTCCCTCTTCTCTTCTCTTCGATTCGCATTTGCCCCCCTCCCGCTTCTTGTCTTCGTTTCTTCTCCGTCGTTAGAGCAGCGTATGCATGCGATTCCCTTCTGGTTCCTCGGTCGTCGACGTTCTCCTTTTCCCTCTCTTTCTCTCATTCTCGGGCACCAGAAAGACGATACATACGTAGGCATACTTCATGTAGTCGTGCCGCAAGACCTTCTCATGTAAGGTGCTCAACCTTGTTTGCATCCAACCGACTCCCCTTCACCCCGTTCTCAAACCGATAAACGCGGCTGACCTCGGCGACCTTAGCGTCGTGCGACCCACCTGTTCTCTCGAAGTGAGGTGGAGGTGAAGGCGAAGAGAAGGAAGGAGAGAGAGAGACGGGAGATAGCCGGGCGATTTTGCCGCGAGGAATTTTCAAACGAGGCGTTCAATCGCGTTTGTATAATATATTCCCGTTATAGACCCGTCTCTGATTTCGTCGGCGCTGAATCGCGGAAGTGATCGCGCGAGAAATCGATAGTGAAACGAAGAATAAGAGTACTTGAAAAATAAATTTTTGAAAAAATCGTTTATAGTATCCTCCAACTATATTTTTACGATATGTTGTGAATGACATTTTGACACAAAATTCCATTCGCATATTATCGATATATATCCGCGCGCGCGCCTTCAATTATTTAATAAATTATCGATCGCAAGTAATGTTGCCATTGATTGCAATATATTGTACAGAATATTTCCATGCATATTATAAAGTAATATGATGTTTCGAATCAAATTTCACGACGCAAAGCATTGACAGGATTAGACGCCTTGAATGTAATAATACAAGCTCAAAGATGATCGTCGACTAATGATGATTGTCGATAACTCGTCTTATGCTACTTCATGATGATTTTACAAAGATTACCGTACGAATGAAAGAAACATAGAGAATTATTTGCGCGCGTTGAAAGTGGCTTGTCAAGTGTTCATGGCGATATTCTCGACCAGGCGGCCAAGAAAAATTAAAACGTTGCAACTATTGACATTTTGATAATGAAAAAAAAAAAAAGAACTGTCAGATCTCTTCTCTTAATTTTCTCTTAATTTCTCATTTCGCGTGACGTATATATTTTCCGAGTGTTTTTTTCTTTTTCTTCGTATAATGCAGAATAGCGTTTTACGTAGCACCGTGCGTGCTTTATTTAGCACTTTTTCTTCATTACCGCCAAATCTCCGCCTTTCGCGGCTTTAGTATCAAACCGGTCCGGTCTCATGGTCGTATTCCACACCGCGATAGTGATCAAATCGATTGAACTTTCGTCCTCTGATGGGAATGCTGATCGATGCACGCCGAAATTCTTTTAGCTGAGAGTTATTTTTAGTTCAATCGGGGACAAGGAATGGAGGATGGGGAGGGGGGGGCAAGGATCGTAAGTGTCGTAAAGGACCGCGTTCCAACATGCACGGATTGCGTGGGCGCGCTACGTTACATGCGTCGAGTGCGTGTGTGCAAAGTGCGCGTGAATGCGTGCGTGCGTGCGTGCGTGCATACGGTGAATGACCGGAGGGCAAGGACGCTACAAGGACACATCCTTACATATGTATGCACGTCTGCGAGCGCATCAACGCGAGCGCTGGTTACATCTGCGGCTGTGTATGGTGATACTTTTTTTTTTTTTTTTTTTTTAAATACCGAAACATTCCTTGACCTATATCGTTTATTTCGTTCTTCGGCCGTAATGCAAATTCAAAAGTCGAAAGCAAGAAACGGCCAATGAAATATATACAGAAGGAAATGTCGACGCGCGTCAAATGCTTCATTTTTATATAATGAGACGAAATGAAAATGTTTCTGATACCAGTGCCTTTTTCGCGGAATACATCCGGGAAATCCAAGTCGATCCCGGCAATCGTGGTCGCGGATCATCATCTTGTACGATCTCATCGTCGCGCTCTCCCGACAACATTCGCGCGAGCCTGGTCCAAGTGCAACCACCTCGCGAAATACGTATGGTTGCATTGCTTAAAATAACCCGCACGTATACGCGCGAAACTTGCCCACCTACCTATCCGAAAGTACGGCTGGTCTCTGGCTGCGTCGAGCGGACAGGTTAAGAGCTGCCTCCTGCAGCTTCGCCATTTAAATACAATGACGACGATCCCCAAAGCGTAATGCGCCCACGCCCTGCACGAGCTGTATACGACGGCGACTTACGCGTCATTGACATTCCACGCCACAATCAAAATGTACACGACCGAGAGACGCGTACATGTTACATATATATCACGAAGATTATCGATAAAATTAGATTTGACTTTTTTGTTTTTAATTGTCGATCGAATCGCTCAATAGACAATATGATTTTTGTCTTGATATAAAGGATCCAGGCATCTTGTGTTGTCAGAAATTTATAGTTAGCCGTTAAAAAAAATGATCTCCTTCATAATATTTTTTTTTATTTCTTATACGCTTTTTTCTTTATGAGTTTGCGCCAAGACGATTGATTTTATAGAAAAAATTGATATTTTTTTTCAAGTGCGTTAACTAAAAGAGAGAGAGAGAGAGGGGGGGGGGGGGAGGGAGAAAAAACAGATTATTATATAATTCTTGTTATTTGGGGGGAAGAGAGAAAAAGCTGTCCGAAATAATCAGGATGCCAGGTGGTTGCGAGGATCGCGTGATACTCCACGAAGGATCCCCGATGGGTTCTTGGAAAAAAATCTGTCAATCTGACTGGTAATCGGCGATCGTGTCGTGTTCGAAGTTGAGGGTTTATGGCAGCTTCTCGAGAGGAATGGACAGAAAACGATGCTCCTCTTTGTCTCTCGCTCCATCTTTTTATCTTCTTCCCTTTTTTTTATAATTTTTTGTTCTCTTTCGCGGCCCAGCAGATCGCGTCTCGGTCGATGAACTTCCTGGAACGATCTTGCGATTGCCTTCTGATGTTTTTTACTTTTACGCCTCTTCCTTTTCTCTTCTCCTTGCAATATAAGACACTCGTGAGAAGCACGAAGACAAAAGTCATACCTCGTAGTTATCCGTTTCTTACAGCAATTATGGATTTTGCGGAATAGCGCTAGCTTAAGAATAGTCTTCTTAGAGTCACGAGAGTTCAGATGCAAGTTAAAAACGCGACAAAAAATATACGATTCATAAATTGACAGTAGTCAACGGAGAAACGTAATTAAAAAAATGAGTACTGCGATAAAAATCAATTTAAGATAAATGTGATATTTTAAAACTCTAATTTGATAGCGCGCGATACAGTATTAAAAATCATAAAATATTTAGATGAAAAATTTTAAGTGGAATAAGTTACTCCACATTAATCATCATTAAATTATTCTCATATACTGTAATCTTTTATGTAACACGGAGACAGAAAGAAAAATGCAGTGTGACTGTGAAAAATAGCAACATTAGATTTCACGTTGCAGAGGATATCTATACGTGTATCGGATTTTATCCAATTTGTATAAAGAGACTTTCTTTTCGAGATTCTTGGGATTGCCATTATTTTTAGTACCTTTCCATTCTGTTATCCGTTCACGTCTGTTTACGCTCGCCTTTGGCGAGCCACAGACACCGTATTCTTTTCTTCTTCACGCATCTTGTCGACGCGTCTCTTTCTTTTTGCGAGAAAATCTTAGACTCATGAATTCCATCTTCTATTTTCTTTCTGCGGAAGGGTTAAAATGAAGGATTTAATGGCTAAAGTGAAATAACGGGTGGTAAACGGGAGTAAACGAGTAGAGTGATAAATGGAAAGAGAAAGAAAGAAAGAGAGTAAGAAAGAAAGAGGAAGCGAAAAAAGATGAACTCTATTGTGTGTATGTATGTTGTATCAGGCAGATTGAAAATCGTGAATTTTATTATTCCCATGGACTTCCCGTTTAAGGACACAATGTGTGTCTTGGCTATTTTATGGTACCTGTCGAGAGGTTTCGGGATCGTGCAAGACAGACAACAATAAGGCCCATTCTGATGCAAAACAGCGGCCGGTTGACTGCTCGCCAATGAGACTAACTTTTCTTCTTCTCGTTTTTTTTTTTTTTTTTTTTTTTTTATTATTTACCATTGTTTTTATTTACTCGAATCTACTTTCCACGATTTTATATGCTCGCATTTATACGATATCTTGTTTGTCAAATTATATATACGCAATTAACAATTTTCTCTTCTTTTTCTCTTTTTATATTTACGAATAGTAACAATTTCGCAAGTTACTTAAATACTTATCCCTCTCAATTTAATGTAGATTATAAATCTCGAAGCAGAGCTTTGTTTGCTGTATATTTGACAGTTTTTTTTTTTTTTTTTTTTTTTTTCGAAACGATTCAAAGCAAATATTAATTAAAACGCTTTTGTAAAAAGCTTTCGGTGAAGATAAAAAGATGAACAAAGAAAAAAGAAAGGAAGAAAAACTCACGTTTGCAATGGCCTTTATATGCGACGGGAATGGCGCGACCTGCGCGGCAGGCGGCGAGTCGCAGGTGGCAGGCACTCTTGTAGGTGTTTCCGTCGGCCCCGCAGACGGGGCGCGCGCCGGCGACCTGGTGCGGGGGCGCCTGGGGGCACCTGCGGGCGCACCTCACACAGTGAGGGCTCAGGTTCTGGTCCAGCAGACAGCTCCGACCTTGGCCGCACCGGACCCGTGCGCACGAACCTGCTCGACACTTTACACGTTATTACGCACAGTCGTAAACCGCCCCCGTGACAGACGCTTTCTTTAATTTTTATTTATTTTATTTATTTTTTTATTCGACAGTTTGATTTGTGCGATTCCGAATGTATTCTTGCTCGTTTAGATATGTAGCTCGAGCGTCTCTAAAGTAATCGCGAGATCTCATGTGATGGAGAGAGAGAAAGAGAGAGAAAAATAGAGAGAAAGAAGGAAAAGCATTAGATTTAAAATACTACAATTTGTGCTGCGTTAATATTATTACGCGTTGGCTATCTACAGTTTTAAACTACGTTGGCATAAATTTAATCGATACATTAAAAATGTACGATTAGAACAGCGGAAAATATATTAAATTTATAAATGTAAGAGCAACTTGAGACGTAATAAAATAAAAGAAAAATTTGCATAGATATAATATCTTTAATGAAATACATCTAATATGTTACAGAGCAACTCGATTTCAGTATCGACCGCAGAATCGCGACTCGGTATCGTGGGAAGTAAAACGCGTTTCGTTACGGTTCATTAAACATTTCGATATGTTACAAGATGAAAATATTTTTCCCGCACGCGCAGTCTCATTAAACCGCGTTACGAGAGGATCGATTACCGAAACAATTACCATACCGACGAATGATTGTATTGGGAGACCAATCCCACAGCCGGATGTTTCTTTCAAATCGTTCTGTTGCGTTCTTTATCCGATCATTAGCGTGCCAGTTAGCATAATCGCGACAGTCCTTCAAATAAACGGTTTACGAGAAACGTCAACGTAACAGAGGGCATTCGATAGTTTTATCAGAGATTAGAGCAAAAAAGAGAAAGGGAGGGAGGAGGGAGAGAGATAGAGAGAAAGGGAGAGACGATCAACTTATTCATACATACTCACTTTGGCAGTGGCCGTTGTAGGCAACCGCGAGTTCGTGGCTGCCCTTCTTGCAAGCTCGCTTTTTGAGTCTGCAGAGGCTCTTATAACTCTTGCCGTCCGTCCCGCAGACCGGTCCACCGCCTCGCGGTGCCTTGCACTCTGGACTGCACACGCACCTCGGCCTTCCTCTACGCACCACGCACTTCTTTCCCTCTTCGCACCTCACTTCCGCGCAACTCTCTGCCAAATAGAAGCAGTTTGTGCGAATTTATATAAGATAATAAACGCGATCAAAGTTCTTTATTCTCTTCGATCGTATTCCTCTCGATTGATTATTAAAGATTCAGATACGCGAAATATGAGCGTGAATCAGAAAAGATAAAGAGCCAATGCTATATTATTTCAATTTTTATGCTACACATCCTATTGCTACTAACAGAGTTATATGTGTAAAAACGAAAAATATTTTTTTCCTTCCTCTTAATAAATAATACTGTCATACACATGGAGATAACACGTTTAGATAAAATGAATGTGTGAAAATGCGAAACAAATTTTAATAATCGATTATCGAATAGCGAGTATTATGATTGTTACCTCGACAAGGACGACACTGTACACCTCCACCAAGAACCCTCCAGAAAAAGAGACTTCCGCTATCCAGATCCTCCTCAGAGTATGCAGTCGCTGCTGCTGCGTTAGACGCGCAACAGTCTTCTCTCGTGACGCCTTGCGATAAAAGTTCCTTGCAGCGGCCGTTACTGATAGACGACCAGCATATACCACCTAATACAAATAAAACCAAACAAAATATATATATGAAATTTATTGTTAGATCGATGCTATTTTGATATTTAAAAGAGACCAAAAGCGAAAAACATTATTATATATAATAGTTACATACATAATAGTTATTCTCTCTCTTTCTTCTCTTATTTCGTTAATAATTTATTTAATTTACTAAAAAAGGCATAACAACTTGGAATACTCAAGACTGAGACAAATTGGTCTTTCTTTCTTAGTTTTCAGTTATCGTGACACATCTGGTTAACCGAGACGCGCGTCGCATGCGTGTGGATATGTCTTGAAATGAGCGTGCAAGATTGTCGATGTAGTTGTATCTCTCTAGTGCCAGCTAGCCACGTTAATGGGGTACGGCAAAAAGGAACGCCTTGTAGGGCTCTCTAATTAAAGTTGCGTATAAAAAAGCAAACATCGGACACGTGATTAGCGCTACGAAAAAGTGGAACAAGGCCTTCTGCTATGTGAAATCGCTACATATACGGTGGAAAATAGATATGCCTTGTACGAGACGCGTTGTTTTTCCCGTGAAAAAAAATATGTGGCTTTCACACTTGTAACGCATGTGTATTATTAGTAATTATGAAAGTAGTAGTAATTAAACCTCTCTTTTCATTGCGATGTATATATATATTTGATTGAGCGCATACACGAACAAAACAAATTGTAAAGATTTGACAAAACGCGACGAATAATTCATTACTTTCATCAGAGAGATGATATTTTCATGTATCTTTGCACTTGATTCAGAGGTATTTACTAAATAAATTAAGCATTTTTCATTCGTAATCATTTTTCGCGAACTTAGTCCGCGAAAGTACTTTACGATGTATGATTAGCACACATAAACCTTGTATAATCGCGGATTACAGGCCTGGAGAATAAACGACACTGTTTACTAAATTCTTCGGCATTAGCATTAGACAGAAATTCTTCGAAGACTAGCTCATAGTTACATCTCGCATGTAACAGAGTCGATGACGCATTCGATGATTATCTCTTTGCGCTGCATAGTAAATCTCTTTTTTGTTACAGAACACTAATGCGTGTGAGATAAGAACGTAATATATTATCACGGAAGAAAAATATACTTGATCGTCCATATTCGTTATGCGCATCGCGATAATATGTTTTTTTGCGATAATATAATATGTTGCATTCATTAAAATAGCTATCTCTGTCTTTTAATATCGATATATCTTATATTTATATAATAGAAACTTGCTTTTTGCTTGTTTTTTTTTTTTTAACCTTGTCAGATCTGATCATTTTTCCCGCGAAATTATTCTAAAGAAACGCGAGAGAACTCGTGTAAAAAAAATTTGACATATAATTAATTTATGTTACAAAAATTTAATATCCGAGAAATCTTTATTTCTCTCAATATTTGCGCGTAATAAGCTATGTGTCCCGTAAAATATATGTGGAAAAGAGAGAGAATAATTCCAAGTTTTACATGAAAGAGATCTAGAGAATCGACTTTGATTAGTAGTGAAGGTCAAACCGTACATTTGTCTCATGCGCAATATTCTCGGTAAAGATTCGTACGCGAGCGGATATAGAGTTCGCGAAAAGGAGATTGTTAACGAAAATAGGAATCACCGAGCGCGTAACTTAAGCGCAGGAAAGTTGGCTCACAAATTTATTCACGATTCGGAACGGTCGGACTGACAAACGATTCATCCTCGCGATATTAATAGCCATATTCGCTTTTCACGATAAATGATCGCGCCGCGTTTGTGTTTACGTTCTAGTTCTCGGGAAAGCCAAGTTTAGGTGAATCGCGTCAGCTATAACGTCTTGTAACGAGGATGCGGCAATAGAGAGCAACATCGGTGTGTACGACGTTCGCCAAATCGCCAAAATAGCCGCGAAATTCTTCCGACGTTCTTCTTTCGCTATCCCGTTACGAACGGGAACAAAAATAGTTTCGCTATCGGTTGATACAGCAGCTCGTGTTTGGTGAGAATGAAGCTATTCAGAAGCTTCGAGTATGAGAAACTCATCGGTATTTCGTATAATATAAAGGCACGATATGCTTCCCCCTTTATCAATCATTATAAATATTATACATGTATATAAAAATAAAGTGCAATAAATTGTTACAGTAATTGCATCCGCGAGATCAGGTACAATTCACAGTGTATCATCCATGATTAAAAGCGCGTTAATCTGTGAGAATGAAGCTATTCAGAAGTTTCAAGTACGAGAAATTCATTGGTATTTTGTATAATATAAAGGCACGAATTCCCCCTTTATCAATCATTATAAATATTATAAAAATAAAATGCAATAAATTATTACAATAATTGCATCCGCGAGTGTATTATGCGCGATTAAAAAAAGCGCGTTAATCTATTAGATTCGTAAAGCTGAGCATCCCGTAATAACGCATAGCCAGACTTGGTTCATTTCCATGCTCGCGCTACCGAACTGGTCAAACGTGAATTACGCATGATGATTCACACGCGTGATCACGACGTGTTTAAAGTTTAACAGTTAGTTTGTTGCGTAAGGTCAACGTAACGCGTTCGGGTTCACCATCCGTACAGTTACTATGTACTCTTGCTAAGTATTTTCTCGAGCAATATTTTTTTTCTTTATATTAATTGGCCATTTCTCCCCCCCCCCTCCCTCTCGTCTCTCTCTCTCTCTCTCTCTCTCTCTCTCTCTGTTAATAGAATATTTATTGATAAAATTGAAGATTATCCTTTTTAGCATTTTTCTATTTACTTAGATTGCATACATAGTATAATCATGTGTTTTGTAAATATTCTCGCGTTTTATACGCCGCGCGAAAATGTCTCTTTCGCGGGCTGTTCCCTCCCGGCCCGCTGTTCTGGAAATCCATCGATCCGGAATCGCTCTACTCGCCGCCTCGCAATTATTAATCCGACGAAGCGTGTCACGCGGCGCGCCGTCGCTCGGAGGAGACGGCGGAACTACACCACCTTGTTACGGAGCGAAAAGGAAAGTCTGGCACAAACTCGAAGCATTAATTCCCAGTCTCGGCGCGGTAAGGCGAGGCGTGGCGAGACGAGGTGAGGCGAGACGAGGCGAGAGCGAGACGAGATGAGGCGCGGCATGAGAAAGGGAGGAGAGGAGAGAGAGAGAGAGAGAGAGAGAAGAGATGAGAGGAAGGAAGGAAGAAGAGAGGAGAGGAGAGAACAGTATACAGAAGAGTGGAAAGGAGAGGAGAGGCGCGAGAGACGTGATGGCGAGAGGCGACGCGGAGCAGAGCGAGAAGAGCGGCTTGGCGTGTCTAGACCGCGACGTAGCCACCGTTTGGCCCAGTTACGCCCTTCTTCCTCTCCTCCTCTCGTTCTTGAAACCCCACTCCAGCATCCACCAAGTTCTCTCCTCGCGTTCACCGTCTCCTTATATCTACCGCCACCACCACCATCATCATCGCCACCACTACCACCTATGACCATCCGCACACCACCATGATCCATCACCGTCGCTAGTCTCTCGTAGTTCACAGAGAGCCACGAGCCACCGAGGTGTGTGTACTCCGGCTCGTATATATCGTCTACAGAGTTTGTTATTTGGGAAGAGCAGGCTCGCGCGCGTGCATGGTCCGCGCGGATCAACGAAACTTTCAGCTTCCAAGTCCGCCTCTCTTTAATCCTTGCGCCCGCCGCGATTACGTCACAGCAGTATCTATAGAATCTTTCCTCGCGACGCCTTCTCATCGTTTTGTATCATGCACTTTATAAACTCAAGTCCCTGTCTTACAATTTCTAAGCGCAATTACGTTCAGAGTCATATAATACCATAGGTATTAATTTAAAATAGAAATGTAAATGAATGATAATTTTATTTCTCTTTAATAAGGCCGTTTTATCAAATCAAACGTCGCACGCAAATCGCCTGTGACGTATTAAATGGTTTTTTCAAAGTGCAAATGATTGTACGTCAAACTCGAAAAGATGGTTTTTTCTTTACTCGATGTTACAAGTATTTGGACAAAATTATTGTCAAGGTCACGGCATTCGTTATCGCGGTTCATATACGTATCTATCTAACTGCGAAACGGCTGCTTTAGGTTCGCTTAAAGCAGATGGCACATTGACCGAAAAGAAGCTTTTCAGCATTTCACTTCAAATATATTCTTTGATTTAAGATAACAATAATCAAGACTGCAATATATTTTTTCGCTTACGTCGTTGATTTTACGACAAATTTTTTTTTCACGCATTATCTTGCGTTAAATTAAAAAAATTCATTAAGCGGACGTTATAATTCTCTCCCGTTTTACTATATTTAAATTTCGCTGAAACATAATTACGTCACGGTGTAATAATAAAGTTCCCTCGAATAAATAATGACGAGAACGGAACAGGAAAACGCTGTTCTTCATTACTCGGCTCCGAAACAGGAAATAGGAGACAATAGTGATGCTTTAAATCACAGAGAAACACATACACACGGGTATATGACAATAAGCTAAAAACATCTTTATAGCCGTCAGGCACCGAAAATAGATGCGACTACCATCGGTTGTCCGTCTTATGGCATAAAATACAGAAATATTGCGCGGGATGCATTCTCAACACACCGGAATCCTCCAAGATGCATGGCTTTAGACTCTCGGTTCTAGCAGCCTAGACTCTCTGCAGGCATGTTGGCATGCGAGATATAAGCTGCCGATTAAAGTGCCTATTCGTTTTCCAGTGTGCAGCACAGCTCACACTACCACACATCAACCTTTGCGCACACTTACAGGCACTCTCGTATTCGAAGAACTTGAATTTTCACACGACGATTGCGATGTTGATATAGATTTTAATGATCATTGAAACGAGACATTCTATGTTAAAAATTTCGAAATTTGTCGCCCTAATTCGAGAATGTTTGTCGTATAGTAAAGTGATGAGAGAGAGAGAGAGAGAGAAAGAGAGAGAGAGAGAGAGAGATTATTATAAATATATAATTAGATGACGTATACATATATTATTCGAAATAACGTCGCTTGTATATTTATAATATCGTCTTTCGTCGTCTCTCGTCTCGGTCTCGTACGCGATATACCCTAATCGTCTCGGGACGGTCCGGGACACGCTGACGAAATAACACGGGATGTCGCGGGATCGGAGACGCGGCAGCAGGTGGTAAAAAGATCGGCGCTTGCCGAGGCAAGCGCTGGACAGGTATTCGCGACGTGCCGTAGGGGAGACGAGTTCTTGTCCGGGCAAGACGGGCACGCGGTTAGTCATCAAGCCTCGGAGATTGTCCCCGCGCTAGCGCGCGCGGCGACTCTCGACCGGTTGATCAAAACCATAAGCTTCCCCCCTTCTGCCCTCCCCTTTCTCCTCTTCCATCACTACCGTGCCCCCCTACCTTTTCTTCCCCCGTCCCCCTCCCCGCCCGCAGCCTTTCTCTAGAAATGTCGAAAAATCTGCCGAAAAAAAGACATCGCGAATGTCATCCGCGACATTGTTCCTCGGATACGCATCTCGGATAATTTTGACTCTCAAAATTCGAGACTGATCGCTAATTCCTTATAGTATATGTCATGCTTTCTGTCTCATGGATGTCGGCGAGATTTTTCTCCGAATGAACAGCTGACATCGATGACGTATAACGCTCGTATAGATTGCGATGAGGTAATAGCGATACGTTACTCATTTTCTCTCTGGTTTTATTTTAAGATGATTGATACGAGAATTGTTGATGGACAAACTAATTTCGAATATTAATTGGAAGTCTAGCATGATAAGTCTTTCGATCGTAAACGTATTTGATTATATCTATTAATTAGATTGAGATGCCGTTCGCGAGAATGATGTTTAATTTGCATCGAAACGAGGTGAATTCATGCGTCATTGATGATATTGCGCGTGACAATTGCGAGTAATATATCTCACGGTTTTTCAAATACTAACTTTCCTCGCGTGGAATATGAAGGCAACCGCACGCGCACGCATAACTCAAGCGTTTTATCGCGGGCTCACCATCTCCCGGGACTGCTGCGCCTTCGGTCATGCTCGTCGAACTGTTTTTACCACGTTACCCATGCTAAGGGATACGGACCCGAGGTGCTAATCCGATGCATCTACACACGCCCAGCTAATAGAACCAGTTTTATGCGTACTGAAAACTGGAATATATTTTCGAAAAACACTTCGCTCTCTATCTCGGCATTTTCTTCTTATCGCATCATCCTTTTCTTCAAGACCACAATACGAGAGCTATGAGAGTATACGATCTGCTAATATATGAGATATTACTATTGTATTATATATTTCATACATGTGTCTATTGGATTGCGCTTTTTTTCTTGTACCGTACCATGTAAGAAGCTCAAGTTATTTTATAATTGCGTAGGGCACAGCATCTGAATATTTGAATCGACACGTGAGAGATTAAACATTCTTATTGAAAATATGACACAGCGTATGCTCTCTCGTTTTAAATAAGATTACAATTGATTTTTCTTATCACGCAACATAGAGAGGCTGAAATCTCGAAATCGCAGCGTTTCTCGAACGATTCCCTTTATCTATCCCGACCGGGCCCTTCCTTCCTCCTTCACGTCCTTCACGGGATCCGCAGGGTCTCCCGTCCCCGTCCTTCTTTCACCCGGTGGCATCGTCCGCGCGTCTAGAGGCTGAAGCGCCTCTCGCTGATGCGGAGCACTGACCCGCAAACTGGTTCCTCCATTACACCAGGCTTTCTTCCCCCTCCCCCTTTTCTCTCACTCCATCTTTTCTTCTTTCTCTCTGTCTCCTGCTTCGTATATGTCCTCCCCGCGTTCCCCCCTTTATTTCTTCTTTCTCTTCCCTTTCGTGAGCGCGCGCACGCGCGCGCGCGTGCATACATGCGTGCGTGCGTGCATCTCTTCCTCTCTCTTTACGTTTCAGCGTGTCCCTTTTACTTAGCTTCTCCGCATCCATATCAGACTCGCACCCCTTCCTCCCTCCCCCTCCTCTCCCCCCCGTATAGAATGATCGGTCTCTAAAAGAGTCGGAGATTCGGCGAGAGAGCGCTAAAAAGTTCTGTATTCTCTGTAATTTTTATAATCGAATCTTTGATCAATCTACTAAACTTGGTTATTTTTATCGGCAGCGTCTTTTCGAATTGCTTGTAAAATTATTTCACACTTTAGTGGTAGTACAACGACAAAGATAAATCGCTAAATCAATTTAGCTGATGGAAATGTTAAGAAATGAGGCTTATTGTCATACACGGACACACACGCATGCACAACTAGATTAATCATCGATTCGAAACATGCTTTCTCTCTCTCTCTCTCTCTCTCTCTCTCTCTCTCTCTCTCTTTCGAATTTCGGAAAGAAATCACTGCTTAAACAATTTTCATCCCCTATAATCTTTTCGCAAAATCGTCGACTCGATTTGGACGTTAATGAAGTTTTAATACCCCGCTAAGCTCGCGTCCCGCTGTCCGTGTTTGTTGCGACGATCGGCGCCGTGCAAAACGTTGAATTAACGCTGAATTAATTCGCACTTTATCGCCTGTCCGAAGACGGCCGACGATCGTTTTATGTATTTCTACGAGTAATCAACAACGTCGACGGGACTAATTTAATTGGCATTGTAGGGATAATTGACGATCGTCGTCGAGATTGTTCGCTGCAACTGCAGCGATATCGTTGCAGGGAAATACGAATCTCGTGTAATTTAATTGGACGTAAAAGAGCGAACAGCGTGTTAGGTTCGTCAAGATGCATGGTGTGCGTAAATAATATGCGATACGGTGATATTTGATTCGCGTCGAAATGCAAATGTAGGAGAAAAGTGGCGTGCAAATTATTGATTTAGACGATTACATCATCGGTGTGCCTATGTTTTATCTAGTCCATCCTATTATCTTCCTCTCTCTTTCTCGTTTTTGATAGCTTTTTATAAACAATGAGAAAACTGCCCCAAAGTGCGGTACTAAAGTAATATGAAAGGATCAAATGCTCAAACAGAGTCACGTTTCGTTTCGCTCGGCTCACGAAATCATTCATTACATACACTGCGAAGCGCTAAATTGAACACGTAGCAAACTAAGCCGCAATGTCCGCAACGGCATATTACAAGGTTGGAAATTATAGCCCTGTGAAATCACAAATTACAAATTGTATGCTAAGGTATCACAATGTTGCGAATTGCTGGATAATAAAGGTATCTCTCAAACCGCAAGAGAGAAGGACGCATTCGACACATTTCATGATTCGTCTCTATCGAGGGATGTGAAAACATTGTGAGAAAACGGTGTTTTACGTTAAATCATCTTTCCAGTTGATAACAACATTCCCCGAATGTAAAAATCTCGGTGTAACTTAAACGATGGATTAAAGCTTTTTTTATTATAACCATGTCATCGTTTCGCGATATTTCCGTTTGCAAATTGCTGACGATTCAATTGTGAAAAAACATAACGAGCAGACATTTAATTCGGAAGAAAAACTTTATTTATTTCGGAAGTAAAAAAAAAAAAAAATCCGCGCGGCACCAAGTAATCTCACACATTGAACGTAATTTCCTGCGTAAGAGATTTATGATAAAGTATGGAAACTTTATTATAAATATGAAAATTTTTGTTAATTCGCGTTACGGGGCAACGCTCTATCGAAGAAAGGATTATCCAAAGGAGGCACTTACCTGTCGCCGAATGGATTTGGAGCAGTAGTCCGATCAGTGACAGCAGGAGGAAGGTTCTATACGGGGATGCCGTGATATCCTGTCGCAAGGCCGTCATCTCAGGCGGCCCGCGCCAGGTGCTCCCCCGACGTGCCGCTATCCCTGCGGTGAATCTCACCTCGGTTTTCTCAACTTCCGCCTTCGTTCCCGCCAGATCTACGACGCGCTGTCCTCGTGCTTCACATTTCATCTGCCTGATTCTGCCGATTCTTGGCCGATCTACGTATCTTCGTTTTCACCGCGCGGAAACTGGGCGCGGAGATGATATCGCGTGGCCGATCACTGTTTTCCCTTTAACGCTCACGGGACTTCATGTCATAGATTTCGTTTTCCATATGTCGCGTGCTTTACGTTCACCTTTTTGGAAAACGGACTCATTTGAACGTCTGAAAATGCAAATTGTCCTTTCGCATCAAGTTCGAGATGATTTCGATAAAAATTGAATCTTGTCTCTCACGCTGTCACCGTAATTTCAAGCACACGTTCGTCTGTGTCATAGAATACCAAAATTATCATCGGAATTTATCCTTCCAAACAGACGCGATAATTAATCCACGAGAATTAAAATATAAATCACGATACGCGTATCATCGTATTGTGATTCGTATTGAACAAACGCAATCTTCCCCTATTTATCTCTCTCCTTCTCTCTTTATGTATGTATATATTTTTCTATGTGCTTAAACATATATAGTTTCAAAGTTAAATGTAATACTGCTTTCTCGACCGATATGTTACAAATTTAAATTGAAAAATTATGCGCTACTATTTCTCCTTTGGCAATATCTTTTTCACGATTGTCTTAACCAGAAAGAATTTCTATTAGTTATTTATTCTATTAGTTACTTTATTACTCTATATGCAAACACTTATATCACGCTTATTATATGTTAAATGTTTTTTTGCTTGTACTGATCGGTATCTGAACTTTTTCTCTATTTTAAATATTACGAGACTCACTGATCTTTCTAATTGTCATCTCGCAAATTCCCCTTATCATTTCAAACTCGCTTTGTTTAATTATACACATGCGAACGACAACGAGTTTTCCTTACGGGCGATTAAAAAAGTATTTTTTTTTTTTTCTTATCTTGACGAACCTTTCTCATTGAATCATGTAGAAAGATGTTTCGGTTCTTGGATTATGATCACTGCGTATCGCGACGTCCACGAGGACACGGGAAAATGGATCGATTCAAACACCTGTGGATGGTTGAAAGTTTCGTGTCGAACGTAAGAGCGGTATATCGTTTGCGTATATGCTATTTTGCCCCGTCGCCTTCCTCGCGAACGCCTCCCTTCCTCGCTTGATTCATCGATCGATGCACGACACTTGAAGCCACCAGTCGCGAATCATCGCGACACGTGGTACGTATACAGGCGTGTATTACGAAATGAAACGCACGTTGCACAAGTGAGTCGCGATACAAGTATTCTCTCTCGGTTGTGTCCTCGATACAATGCACGATCCTAAATACCCTCCGCGTGCCTTCCACGCTCGGCTGCACCACCTTCGCGCGGCCAATCTCGTGGAATCCCCGAGGGGATCCACCACGAACGGTGGTATCTCGCGATTTACCTCAGCGTCGTCTCTCAACGTCGACGGATATATCTTTCTTTCTTTAGAAACTATCCTCGATTTTTGTCGCGGCGTATTCGGTAGATTCACGACGCGATCGTCGATCCTCCACGCGACAAGTCCGCGAGTTCGCTTCGCGACGCGCGACGCGCGGATTCTCGTCGGTGGAAACCAAGCGCGCGCGAGGCCGCTCGGCAGACTGAGAGGAGCAAGCAGTCGACGGCCAGTTGGTAGTCAGGAGCCAGAAGCGAGCCAGCAGCAGCAGCAGCAGCACAAGGCGAAACGTTTCGCCGTATGCCGAGCGAAGCTCTGCAAAAGCAGGCCTGTACACGCGGCCGCGTTGCGTTGTATCGTGTCGTCCCCACTTTCCTTCTTCGAGCGCGCGATTGCGGCGGCGGCGGCGGCGGCGGTAACGACGGCGGTGGCGGTGACGGTGGCGGTGGCGATGGCGGTGGCGGTGGCGGTGACGGTGGTGGTGGCGGTGGCGGTGGCAGTAGCGATGGCGGCGACGGTCACGACGACGAAAGCGACTATCTGTCTGTATGCCTATACGCCTGCCTTCCTGCATGCCTGTACATCTCCTCCTTCTACTGCAACTTCCCTTCTTCTCTTGCTCCTTATCCGTCTCATCTTTTTTTTTTCTTTTTTTCCTCCTTCTTCTCTTTCTTCTTCTTCTTCTTCTTCTTCTTGTCCTCATCCTCATCTTTACTTCTGTCTCGTCCACCATACCCTTTGAATTCCTCCTCTCGCATCCTTGCGTTCCTCGTATGTTCTTCCGTCTTGCCTACGGGTTGCAGGATCCACCTACGCGCCCTCCCTTCGGCTACCTCCCTTCCTTCCTTCCTTTTGTTTTTAACGTGTCCCTCGCGCGGAAGTTTATAGCGGAGAATTTTCCGGTTTCGCCGGCTGCGAGAGTCCAAGAGGACTTGCTCGATCGAGTCGAGACCGCGGAGCTTTTACGCGTATTTTACGCGTTTGCGTATATACGGGGCGATACGTGATGAAATATTGTTGAATTTAGGATGGATCCGTCTTTTTCCCTCGTTCGATCGTATTGGCGCAAAGTATTTCTCTAAACGATTTACTTTCTAAACGCTTTACTTTCACGAGATAGCTCTACAATGTACGATTTTCACCAAATCTCCCCGCGATCCCGTTGTCGTTTATCTCGCGACATTTATTTCAAATAGAAATATATTTTCTCGATTGCATAGGTTTTACGATTACTAAGTTTATCTACGGATAAAATAGTAATTGATAAGTTCTCATCGTAAAAATAATTATATTTTTCAATAGATTTTATGTATTAATTTGATTTTAAAGTTGCACTTTGTACATTATATTTACATGATGACACTTATTCATTTACGATAGCACATTCATAAATGACACGCGACTAAATTAAATTTCATTATCTCAAAAACACAGTAAAAATATAAAACAATCAAATTATACCGTATATAAATGTATGTGTATACGTGAATGACAACAACTGTCAAATAATTTTTTAATCAAAATATTAAATAATCTATTAGAGGATTATATAGGCAAGAACGGTAGTATCAAAAATGCAATACTCGATTAAGGATCTTGAATAGAAGCTTTTTAATGTCGGCAACAATGGCCAAAGCATCTCGTATTAGAAGCGAATAAAAAAAGTACTTGTGAGAAAGACAGATACCATTCAGGTCTTACACATCTCGCCACTGTCCGAAGACACGAAGGGGGTTGACGTTAAAGCAGCGACTTCCGGTTGTTTCGAAACGTTCGGCGCGAGCGGGAATGAGCAAGATGACTGCCGTCGAAATGTCTGTCAGTCGCGGGCGGTGGTAAATCATCTCGAGTGACGCGCGTGAGAGACAAGGAAAATTTCGGCACGTGAAGATAATGCAATATACACACCGTTCCGGCGACAAGGTGCAATGGTGATTGGTGGATGCACCGCTGGTCCACGTCTCTTTTATACCTCGCGACTCGGCGCGGCGCGACCCCCGACAAAGCGGTACCGCCCCCTGGACACGTGACGATGCTGGATCTGCCACCAGGGATACTATGCGCTCCTTGCAGCGCACCCCGTCGCAACTACCCGCTAGACTACCCCACTACGGAAGCCCGCACCCTCCCATCCTTCCTCTCGCGCGGCGATGCACTAATTGATATCATTACGCGACGTCCAAGTACGTGTATAGACTTGGCGTCTATCGCTTGCGCAATATGAATGATGGTGTACCTTATCCCGATAGTGTGCTAACAATCGTCGTACGACTGCCCTTTAGCTACTAGTTTTTCATCTATTTCATCAGGTTTCTCTATATACTCGATTTTGAAACTTGATTAGACGATTTTCAGTCGTTGATCATTCGTAAACTTTCTATCGGTGGCTCGATGAGTAACTCGTATATTTGTCGAAGAGATTAGGTTGAAGCATATCTCAGAATATCTATAATTATATCAGCCGTATTCCCGGACGCTCGTTCAAATCGGAGAGATAAAATACTAGTCCGAATACTTTATACCATGCAGAAATCCATATCGTATATATGTGATAAATATAACTATTCCCGCGAATTTATATATATTTAAATATATAACGTTTTTTTATTTCTTAATAACAAATAATTGTTGAAATTGTAAAAATATTTCACTCTTTGAGCAGTGTACATAACGTCGCGGCATCTTGGTCAAACGCTAATACATATGCGAGATCCACTCGAAACGAGTGAATCTAGTCTGTATATGATCCGACCCAAGCCTTTTGCGTGTAGTCACTGTTCCTTGACAAAGTCTGAGGTAGACGGATAAAATCGTATAGCAGAATAATTAACATGCGATAAGAGAAAAAGAGTGAGAAAGAAAGAGAGAGGGAGACGATTTTGACCGACAACAGTAGCGCGAATTTATCGGTAGGGATCGTCATCGAGGGTAGCTGAAAAAGGTAACGAAATAGCGAAAAGAACGAAGGGGATGCAAGGTGTGAGGCAGAAGGAACGCTAGGCAAGGCGCGATCATGGGAAGGGTGAAGAAAGAGAGATTACCGCCCGAGATAGAGAGGCGGCGAGATTTTCTTTCCTCCGTACTCGCACGATCTCATCTTTGATCGCCTCTTCCGCGGAACTGCAAAAAGCCATCGATCGATCGATCTCGGGAAGCGTCGCACGGAGAACTTACGGGAGGGTTGTCCGACTACTATGCAGTCTAGACTTTCTTCAATAAACGGTCCACCGAACTGAATCGCCCTTCGTTTATCAACGGCTGTCTTTGCGCGAGTCGTCGTAAGAACGACGAAAATTCGATTTGCGTGAAGCTGCGCTCCATCTTTACTCGCCTCAGACGCGCCGTGATCGTAATCTCTCGATACATCTCGATCGTTGCACGAAAGAGAGAAAAGAAGAGAGCCAGATTTTTTTCATTATCAATACAATTTACATATTATGTCTCTCTCTCTTTTTTTTTTTCTGAATTAAATGTAAGAGAAAATCAATGCTGATAAGAATTTCATTATTTTATTAATTAGAAAAAGTATTAACAATAATGAATTATTTATATAATTAATGGTAGCGTATAATTAATAATGATAAAGAGATTTAATAATATATATTACGACACTATTTTTTTATTATATTTTTTCTTAGACTTTTATCTTTTTCATTTTATATTTTTTTTCTCTTTATTATAAGAAACGATGATACACATACACACACAACGAGTCGTATGATCTCTTTTGGACAATAAAACGAACGCATGTCTCGATACATCTCGATCGTTGCACGAAAGAGAGAAAAGAAGAGAGCCA